ATTTGTTCATGAAAACCAAGAAAAATGGAAGAGTTTCGAGTTTGCATGCATTTCCTATAGAATATGAACCAAAGGCTATCAGCAGCTAGGGGGATCATAGGCTTCATTGTCTTTTTTGTTTAATTGAATGTACTGCGTTCATTGGATAAGCTAGAAGTTGAATTTGTTGAGTTTAGATGTCCTCTGTTATTATGTTAGAATCAAGAAGGTGCATTCAAATATTGCGAAAACAAAGTTAGGAATTTTCTTGTTTGACATGGAATTTTCCAATGAAATTTGTTGACAGAAGTTAATTATTTTCTATATTGGCTTATTTGTTATGCTTGGCATGCCAATTGGACTCTAGCTTTAGTCCATGACAGTTCTATTAGTTTATTATCCTTCAGTGTGTCACAATTTTTAATTTGTGGTGTCGAAATTCTGTTTTCTAGTCATTATATTACTGATAACTCCTGGCCTATTTCGACCATTTTTATATCAATATTATCATTCTTGGAAAGAAGTCCCATTTCTGTGTGGCCATTTTTTTCAGATTAAAACAATAGGGCTAATTATTGTATTTCAGCAATGTGGCTGCTGATTTTATTAGTTATCCCAGTCACTGTTTTTAAATGGTGGTGCTGTGTTGGAATTATCATTGCTGTGTTTCCTCATGTTCTTATTTTAGCTTTCAAGTTTCTTAAGTTACCCTGGTCTGTTTATAACTTAAACTGATCTCTAGATGATTTCAGTTTATTGAGAATCATTACAAGTTGATAATGCAAAGAGTAGAAATATTTAAACATCAATTATCTAGAGTAATACCTTGTTTATGTTTGTTCTGAAAATTGTAATTTCTTTCTTCTCATTGTTTCTCTTTTCTTGTTGGCCAATGATTCTAATATGGACAGGCGAGGAAGATGCCTTGTGCCCCTCAAGAGACAGGTAATGATAGTCCAAAAGTTTCAGAAGCAAGAAAGGATTCCGTATCAACAATATATCAACAACAACATAAATTCACATCTTTAGAGGTGACGATAAATTTCAGCCCTATTTTTCCATGATTTTTTAGTTGAGTTTGGCAAGGCAATTGATCCTTACGTCTATTTTGTTTTCTCTTTAAATGTAATTCTTTTATTTAGGGTTGTCAAGAATCATCTCTTTCAAGGATTAACTTGGATAATAGGTAAAATATTTTTTATGACTAGCATTGCTTTCATTATCTTTTGTTCTTATGGTAATATGATTTTGTTGTTAATTTACGTATTTCTTTGATTGACATTGTTGACATGTTAATATAAAATGTACTTCTATCCTTCTATGATATTCCTTTGAAATATATTATTTATAGAATGATTATATGGCTTATACATGAAGTTGGTATTGTATTGATTCTGTGCATGGTGTAAAGGAACCTGAGTCCATGTTGGCATTGTCATAATGATGTCATTTGTTTGGCCTCCATGTAAAGTAGTTGCTCCCTTTATGCTACATCTTCTTGTCATCTTTAATTTTTGCATTATTCTAGTATTCCTTAATGTTTTTATCTTGTCAACAGAGAAAATGAGATTGGAAAAAAATTGTTCCCCAGATGTATACCTGTGGCAAAAACTTCCATGAGGTGGTCTGGTCTTTCCTTGCAATTTGAGGGTTATAAAAGACAAAAAGAGACCATAACACCCTTTTTTGGAATAACTATTACATTTTTTTAATTTCTTCACAAAGTTGAAAGCTAGTAATGGCTACATGATTCCATTTTCAAAAAGTTTTACCATTGTTGTATAGCTCCTTACTCTTTTATTTTTTATTATGTATTTTTGTGTTCCAAAGGCACTTTCTTGGAAGTGATTCATGGTTAAGTTCTTCCAATCATTGGTCAGGTGTGCCATCATTTCATTCAACTTTGAGCCTGATGGAACCTGGAGAATTGTTGCCTTACCAGGGCAGTGTCTCAATTACATTAACTTAGCTGGTGGTGTAAATATGGATGGTGTGCAACTGCTTGTCTCTCCTCCGCTTAATAGGTTGAAGATTGATCAATGTAAGGGCCCTAGAGTGCCTCTTTCTTCCTATGCTTATTCAGCTAAAACAGGTACAAAAAAAGGCTTTACTAGTTCAAATGTGCATCGTCGATGTCAAAACAAGATTGCTAGCAGAGCTTCTAAACTCAACGAACTCTCTAACAAGTCCAGTTCTCAAAGCTCATTAGTATGCAGTCCTGGTTTGTTCCCTGATACTTCTGCAGAGGCTAATTCATCTGATAAGTACGCAAGTAATTCCAAGGACGACGACAAGTCTTTGAAGAAAAACTCAAGAAAACATGGTAGAAAGAAATTTAGACGGAGTAAGAAGAAGTCAAGTCACAGGTCTACCGAATGTGAAGTTCCTACTGAGGAAGTTGTCTGTCCAAATTTGATTTCTGAAACCTGCAGCAGCAATGTTGGGGATAAGGAGGGCGTGGGAGAATTTTTAACTTCTGATGATAGATTAATAAAATCTGATTGTGACATAAATAAGATGAATGACATCAAAGTTATGGAAGCACCTAACGTTAGTAACACTTATCTTGATCAGGAAGCAATGTTAAAGGATTCTGCACCTATTATTCCAAGTTCTGCAGGAGAATGTGCCACATTTGAATCCAAGAATCAGCTCAAAGGTAGGGGCCCTGAGGCAGTCATTGATAGAGAAATAAAGAACATCCAGCATACTCAGCCATGCAGTTTTAATGATATACAAGACTCTTTAGTGCTAGATTCAGTTTCAGTTTGTTCCAGAAGTGATGGGAGTATAAATACAGAAGATATAGGAAAACAATCCAACAAGTCAAATTGCACAACCACTTCAGATTCTGGAGATGGATATTTTTTTTGTCAAAACTTGACAAATGGCATTCCCAATAACTGTGAACATATTGAGGGGATTATGCACAGTGGTCAAAATTGCATCAGTAATGATAAGAGAGTTAAGCAAAAGAGAACTATGTCGCACAGTTCAGGTTTAAACAAATTTGGGGGTGTTGGAATTTTGCAAGGTCGAAAAGGGAAGGAAAACAGTCATTCTATATGGCAAAAGGTTCAGAAGAATAGTTCTGATGAATGTGGCGGTGATTTGAAGAAAGTAAACACTACTTTGTCACAACTTGCTTCTATTGAGAAAAAGGATCCCTCAGTTATCAAAGAATGTAAATCTGTTGGTGTGAACTGTGTATCAAAAACTGAGGATAAGAAACAAATGAAAAATAAAATTGGTAAGAAATCTAAAGTCAAAATGGACTCAGTATCAAAAAAGGGACAGAGCAATTATTCTAGGAAGAGTTTGCATCTTAGCAGGTCATTGTCAAATGATCATGGGAAGGTTGGTGCTGAACAGAATGATATGTTGCATATCTCAACTCAGGAAATTGATCAGCATGGACTGAACCATGACTCTGGATTTAATTCTGATGTTCACTGCTTGTTGGATGGGGTCCAGACCAATGGGGTTGAACAGGTAACATCTGAAAAAATTCACAGTGCAGAATTTCATCTGGAGATGTCAGATCCAAAAAGTAGTGCCTGCCATACTGTTGCGAACACAAACAATGAAAGTATAGATAGTGAGGATAGGTCGTTAGTAAGGCCAAGTGAGAATGTCAATCAATCAAATATGTCTGTAGAGCTGTCTCCAGCGTCTTGCAATCTTGAAGGTGATGAGGTTGGTCAAACAGAGAAAGAAGCTTCTTCTGCAGACTACAATGCACAAAACCAGTGCTCTGGAACCTCCCTCTGGAAATGGATACCAATTGGGAAAAAAGATACTGGGTTGGAAAAATATGAATCTAGTATTTTACCACCAGACTATTCTGATGCATCCTCTAGGAACAATATTAACCATGAAAGCAGTGTTGAACAAGAAGTGGCCTCTTCTGAAAGTAAGGATTCTTCAATAAATGCAAGCAGAACATCAAATGGTGAGATTTACCACAAAGTGTCCTGTCTAGGTGAGGGTGAGAACGAAAAATTGGGTGGGCAGGTTCCATTTACATTGACACAGCATAGGGACAAGCAAGAAGTTTCTAGTCACATGTTTAATGAAAGCAAAAAACAAGAAATGTTAGAAAAGGATTCTTACAGAATATCCCAAGCTGTGAATGATGCATGTAGGGCACAACTAGCTTCTGAAGCAGTGTACATGGCTACAGGTGGTCCAGTTGCAGAATTTGAAAGACTACTTCATTTTGGTAGTCCTGTGATTTGTAAATCAGTTGATTCAGTCAGTTGTTCAACCTGCTCATGCAACCATGCTGGTGGTGTCTCACTGTGCAGACACGAGATCCCTAACTTGTCTTTGGGATGCCTGTGGCAGTGGTATGAGAAACATGGGAGCTATGGGTTAGAAATAAGTGCTCAGGATCATGAGAATCCAAAGAGTCAAGGTGTTGGTGATTTTCCATTCCGTGCGTATTTTGTCCCTTCTTTATCAGCAGTTCAGCTGTTTAAGAACCATGAAAATCAATGTGTAAATAGCAGTGACGAGCTTTCAAATTGTGAGGTTTCAGAGGCATGTCAAATGATTAATTTTTCAGAAAACTCATCTACTGCCACTGAACATTCAATATTTTCTGTTCTCTTTCCTCAGCCTCGAAATCAGGATGCAAGCATTGAAACTCCGAAGGAGACAGATTCTATCAGTAATGGATCTGGTGATTTAGAACTTCTTTTTGAATATTTTGAATTTGAGCAACCTCAACAAAGACAGCCTCTTTATGAGAAGTAAGAATTTCTTCTTTATCATCAGAACATAATGGTTTTCAGTGTATCTATCTGTGTTAAGTTTTCTGGAATAGACGGTCATTACATTTTGTTGTTCCTTGACATACTATATTATGCTGAGTAATTTTAATAAGATCATCAACAAAATTTATGACATTATACTGTGTAGGAATTAGGAACAGGAGGTTTTCATCTTTTTCTTGTGTACTAGATGTTTGGCTACTATAAGAAACAGGTTTGCTGGTTGATTCAACAGGTGCTTAATTTGATTTTGATGTTCTTACAGGATACAAGAACTGGTTAGAGGAAATATGCCAATCCAATCTTCAACATATGGGGACCCAACAAAACTGGATTCAATAAAGCTGCGAGATCTTCACCCTAGCTCTTGGTGAGTGATCTACATGTCAACTATATTCTGCGTGCTAAAGAAAATGTGATTGCATCTTCCTTATCAGATGACACCAAGTGTTTTTTTCTTGACTTAATTTTAAGTGATGTTTCAAATGGTAGCACTAAGGCCACCTCATTTGCAGGTTCTCAGTTGCATGGTATCCTATTTACCGAATACCAGATGGCAACTTTCGTGCATCTTTTCTGACTTACCATTCACTTGGACATTTGGTCCGTAGAAGAACAGGTTCAGATTTGTTAACATCAGGTTCTTGCATAGTATCTCCAGCTGTGGGTCTCCAAAGCTACAATGACCAGGTATGAATTATCTTGCATATTATTATTCCATGCATTGAAAATTAAACTTTCAGTTGGTCAAGAATTTTTTTTTGGATGAATCCATTGCAAATAATATTTTGACACATTTACAGTTATTATGTTTTTGTGGCTGATTACAAGATAATTGGAGCTTTTACTGGCATATTTAATAATGTAAATCACAGTTTATTTGGAAGCAGACTTTCCAGGGTTGAGGAAATAAAGAATGCAAAAGATGAAACTTTTTTAGATTGCTAAAAGAGAAGATGACGGATAAGTTATTTACATTAGGAATATTATTGTAATATTATTGTTAGATGTAGGAAGTATGGTGCTGAAAGGAGTTGTTCAAATTATACTTGCTGTGTGTTCTTTTGGATAATTTTTTCAATAGAAACTTATATGCCGTTTGTAGGATATAGAACATTGGTGTCTTCTAGGTCTACAACCTTTAGGACAAAAACAATGGCATACACCACATTGATAATTGCTTCTAAAATTAATATAAAAGAATATATGATTATGCTGAGGTGAAGTCAAATTATGGACCTACTATGAAAAGGTAAATATAGATCATAATAAAGACAATCTAATATCAATAAAATATTTAAGAGATTATATGTGTGTTTGAAAATATACTGACAATTATTAATCCATAAAAAAGTATTCTAATATAGTTTCAAAAATTATTAATAATAAATAATTTACTATCAAACAAGTGTTATTACATAATAATATATAATATTTACACAATCATATTTTTAATTAAATTTATTTGAGAGGTACATAGCAGCACAATAACTTATTAAATGCAAACAAATATTCAAATTACAAAGCCGACAACGTTAAAGACAGTTTGAAGTATTAAAAAAAGGCTAATTATATTATTTATGGTGTTGTTTGCTCCATAATTCACATATTGATTTGAAGTATTATAAAAAAATCTAACATACTATATGATGAACACAAATGTAAAGAGTGCAATAGAATATTGTAGTGCATAAAAAATTTGATTAAATTCAATTTGTTTGAGTTGATTAAAACCAGTAACCCTTTCTTTTTTTCTTAACAATATTGGATAATAAAGTGATACAGCATGGCCAACAACACATGGTTCATATAAAAGAAAATTTAAAATGATCCATAATCATTTTTAATGATTTCTTCGACCATGGAGGTTGGTTGTACAACCCTTAATAACTATGTTCTCTGTAATTAGGGTTGTTTGGCAAACTTTGTCCCTATTTAGGAGTGACATGTTTATGAAATGGAGCAGAGAAATATTTTACCCTAGTTCTTATGTTCTTCACTCATATTTTAGTATAAGTTCTAACCAAAATCTAACATAAAGTATAAAGTGTATATATATAACATAAACCGAAAATATTTATAAGTTTTATTGTACATTATTTTTTAATTCCAAATTTGTACGTATGTTTTGGCTCCATATCTAATTATGATTTGGTAAACAAAACGAAAGGATCAGAAACGATGGCACACGGTAAAGTAAGAAAGAGGAACATGAAAAAAAAGGGTAAAACTGGAAAAATAAAAAGAAGATATTTTTTAAAAGAACAATATGGGGAAATTCAAAATAAGATCAGAATAAAAAAAAGAAAAAAAATACAAAAGAAATGAATCAGGATTACACTAAAGAAAGTGGATTTAGACAGATTTTTTTGGAAAGTTGATGTATAGCTATAAAATATTTACATAATTAAATGAATACACTAATAATTAAAAGAAAAAGACCAACGGGTATTTGAAAATTCAAGTATAATTAATCATGTACGAAAATTCTTAAGTGTATGTAAAAGATATTATCATTTAAGAAAATACCATATTGAATTTAAAAAACATGTAAAAAATTGGAAAAACATAAATGCTAATTTTCATTTTTGCAAATTAAGATACTTAGCTTCAATAAACATAATATATGAGCCAGGAAAGAGGTTAAATGGTATTATGAAATGTTTAAAAGGAAATAAGATAATAGTAAAGAATTTTGTGAGGATAATACATGTTGATCAAAATACATAAAATTTATTACAAAAGATGCAAAGTGGATTAGAATGACAAATAGTTAATGCATAAAGTGATACTGTATGGAAGCAATATGAAGAACATTCACTAACTTGAAGCTATGAAAAACAAGCATATACAGAGTTACTGCAAACATCTCTCCACATAATCGATACAAGTGTTTCTTGGACTGAATAACAAGAAGCAAATCGAAAGTGAGGAGACAAAAATGGTATGCACAAAGCTATGTATGTACAAACGAACTTATGTTGAGGAACAAGGACATAAAGACTCATGCAACACCATCAGCAATACTCAGATCCTACGAGATGAATGTAGCCAAAATCATTTGTAAGTTGTAACTAGCTGTTCTACTACTCATGATTATTTTTGGAGAAAACTGAGATGTCAATACCGTCGCCTAGACGAGAAAAACTCATAATCAGGATGTCTGTTAGTACATGTTTGGTTCCCCTTCTTCACCACAGCTCTTGCCATTACAGATGCTGTTTCCTCAAGTGTCTCCAAACGTTCTCTCAGGACAAAAGAAGGGTCTAAGCCCACCATTTCTGCTGCTTCTGCAGAGTGCTTCAGCTTGAACCAGCATTCTCCCCTGTTCATATCACATCAAGTGCTAAACTGTTAGCAAGCCTTAAAAGTATATATCCACAATTATTTTCTAAAAGTTTTAAAAATTCATTTAAGCTTATGGAAGCAGCTTGATTAATTTATCTTCTGATTTTCTTTT